ACAACTCAAAGAATTCCAAATCAGCCCAACCTGTTTACAGAATGACACCAGTGGCAAGCATGGTTCAACGCAACACCACTTTGGGTTTAAGTCCTTTAGATTGCCGAACAGTGGTCTTAGCTGGGCTTTGCCACTGCAAGAACAAAACAAATTCTCTAAGTTGGTCTTTTGCACGACGCGCTCGCATATTGCGACCAGCAAAGTCATGCCAAAATCTCATTAACATCGCGTTGAAATGATTTGACATGTTGGCGAAGTCTCTCATTCTCCTTGCACACATTTCACGCCCTTGATATGCCATATACTGTAATTGGAAAAAAACCGCGGATCTCCTGTTCCAGAAGTTCCAAATCCTTTATGTTGAGAGCTAACCTGTCCTGTAAAGCTCAAAACTGCAGGCATGGCCATCTGCATGTCATGTCGCTGTGCTGCACTGTCCTGCAAGTCCTTTTTCTCCACTTGCAGCTCTCTTAGTTCCTGCCAACAAAACTCTGCAAGTCAGAGCATTAACTTTTTTTTGAAACAACCCTCTATCGTGCTCGGTATTCATCAAATGAGACGTTCCGCCTTTCTAAGCTGCTGCTCTTCAGCTGCTCCCTTTTCCTGAACCCAGCACCCACATCATGACCCCGCATGTGTGAACGTTTACTTTAAACACTCTAAACAATCTTTTAAGAAACAACAGAATGGTAGCACATTGACTGCTGAAAGTTCAAAGCCAACATTGTCAGAATCATCCAGATCTAAAGAAGCAAGCAAGCAAGCAAGTAAGCAAGTCATTGCGACAAATGAAAGAAACAACACTTGCGGACAACATAAGTTTTGTTTTCCACCGGCTTGGTTCCAACGCATTTTTTGATTTTGCCTTTCATTCTAGCCAGTTTGCAGTGCCGGGCTTTCCTTGGAGTTGATCACTAGCTAAATCAAATGCGCATCACGACTTCGATTGCAAATGCGGAAAAAACACCCTACGGACCGGTGCAAAAGGTGACTGGAGGGTGCCTCTTTCCTCCTTTCTCGTATACCTTCGGGCGAGGTATGTTACGTTTGAATGGTCCTTCCTCGTCTCCCGGGTGGCTCACAAAAGTTCGCTCTTTCGTCCTCCAAACTTTACTCTTGGGTGGCTTACAACAGATGGTGCGTTGAAAAAACAGTTTTGAATTCTTTTTGGTTAAACATTCATGTTGGGCGCTTCACAAGAAATATTGCTATGTTGGAATAGCTGTTGGCAAACATTGCAGATAGTTTCACCGAAACACGAGTCACCAAAATTTGCACCAAACGCAAGCCTGGAACGACTTGACACTTGGAAAATCTGCATTTGCCCCTGCTTCATGGCAAACACAGCATCCTTGGATAATTGGGCTTGTGTACCGGACCCGGTGCGGTCATTATGGGGAAGGCTGCCTCGTCTACCAAAATGCACGCGCAAGCGAGTCATTGTGCGCGTGTAAGAAATGCATTTTCTGCGCGTGCAAGCGAGCGCCACGCCATACGGAAAACTCGACCAATAAGACAGCAGGTGAGACACAAAAGGACAATGGGCCGTTGGACAAGGCTTGTGGAACAGGTGCTGGAGCAAGTGCAATGTTTCACGAAACAGAAGGGAGACAAGACCGACACAATGACAAACAAGAAGTGAGACAAGACCGGACACAAAGGGAGACAGAAGGGCAATTGGGGACCGGAGACAATGACCAACAAGAAGGGAGACAAGAAGGAAGGGAAACACAAGGGAGACAAAACAGACGCAGTGACCACCAAAAAGGGAGACAAGACCAAAGACAGAAGGAAGACAAGGCGGACACAATGACCAACAAGAAGGGAGACAAAAGATAACAGAAGGCAGACAAGCGGGACGCACCGAAAAGGGAGACAAGACCGGAAACAAAGAGGGACAAGAAGGGAGACAAGACGGACACAGATACAAGACCGGAGACAAAGAAAGAGTGAAGGGAGACAACGGAAAAAGGCGGACAGCAGTGACAGACCTGGGAAACAAATGAATAGAAATGCTGAATGGCCAACGGAAAAGGGCGGACACCAGCAACGACATAAACAGACCTGCGAGACAAATGAATAGAAATGCTACATGCCCAGCCGAAAGGGCGGACACCACCAGTGACAGACCTGAAAGACAAATGACAGACCTGGGAGACAAATGAATAGAAATGTTGCATGGCCAGCAGAAAAGGGCGGACACCAGCAGTAACACACCTGGGAGACAAATGAATAGAAATGCTGCATGGCCAGCGGAAAAGGGCCACCAGTGACAGACCTGGGGGCCAGTGGAAAAGGGCGGACACCAGCAGTAACAGACCTGGGAGACAAATGAATAGAAATGCTGCGTGGCCAGCGGAAAAGGGCGGACACCAGCAGTAACAGATCTGAGAGACAAATGAATAGAAATGCTACATGGCCAGCGGAAAAGGGCGGACACCAGCAGTGACACAAAGGGCGGACACATCTTAAGAAAGAATTGAGAACCCCTAACAGTAAACTGTTTGGGGAATGAATGGAAACGCTACATGGCCAACGGAAAGAGGTGGACACCACCAGTGACACAAAGGGCGGACACATCTTAAGAAAGAATTGAGAACCCCTAACAGTAATCTGTTTGGGGAAGAACACAAATATGTGTATGCGGCATTTTCTGTTTTTCCCTACCAGTGACCCAAAAGAATGTCTTCAAGGGTGCCCCACAAGCGCATCCCAGCCACAACCATCCCTCAGAAGAGTGGATGCGCAAAAATTCTCCGCGCGAGGGTCCTACTAGAGTGCCCCCCCCCCCCACACGAGTGCCCCGCGCAAGTGACCCACGAAAGCCCCCGCAAGAATGGCTGCCACTTGCATCAAACAAGAAAGCGTCGAACAAGCACAAGCTTGCCCTACGAGAGTGTCCTACAACAGCTTCCCACAGGGGTGCCCAGCAAGTGCCACGCAACTACGAGTTTCCTACAAGAGTGCCTCTCAAGAATCCACATGAATGTCCTACAAGAAGTGCTGCGCAAATTGCCGCCCGAGAGCACCCCGCAAGAGGACCTTACAAGAGCGCCTTATTACAAAAGTGCCTTGCAAAGGTGTTGCTGAGAAAGTGCTTCAAAAATAGTGTGCCTCTCAGCATTCCTAATCCAAGCGTTCTTAAACCACTTCGTTCAATAGCATTCTCGTATTGGGTTGCGTGAACAAGCTGGTAATAATTTGGGAAGGGTTGAAGTTCCCATGTATGTTTTCTAAATTCCGAAATCCCACGTCGTCCGGAGCTTGTAGAAGTAGAAGAAAACAAGCGTCAATAACCAACTTCCGCACCCAAAGCACACACATTCACATCACGTCTTGAGCGCAAACACAAGACAGCAAACGCGTGAAAGCTGAGAACAGGTGTGAGAATACACTTAAGAGGGCCGACGCATGAGAGCACACATATGAGACTGAGAGCATCATATGAGAGCGCAGGCAAGCGCAAGAGCAAACACGCGAGAGCACACAGGTGAGAGCGCGCAAAACTGAGCACACATAACATATGGAGAGCACACGCGAGCGAGCACACGTGTCACATATGAAGCAAACATGCGAAAACCCAGTCAGGATGAGAGCACGCATATGTGAGGAAACATATGAGTGCACACATACGAGCAAACACGTGGGAACGCACAGCGCAATCTGAACTTCCAGGTTTGCAAAGGGCTGTGCCTGCCACGAAAACTGCGCGCGTCACATGTCAAGATCCACGTCGCGCAGCCCTGTCAGTCGAAGACAAGTTCAAGACGCTAAGGCAAAGCTTTCGTGCGAGCGACACTTCTCCCCAATTCTGAGATTCTGGAAGCGAGCCGTTCACGATTCACCGACCCTGCCACGAATGCAACACATTGAAGTCCTTGCGCCTGCCAAGTCTGAAAATGCGCAAGGAACCGAGTTCAGCTCCAGCCAGTTGGGGCTGGGGCGTCGCTTGCGCGCCGCGAAATTGGATCACTTGTGCACCGCGAAATTGGATCGCGCGCGCACCGCAGGATCCAGGAAAGGATAGAAAAGGTGTGACGTTTTGTTAGGGCATTCCTGTGTTGCGGTACAGGTATAGAGATATGATGGCTACAGTATATAAATAGCGTCGCCATAGACGTATACTTATGTTTCTTTTTCGTGGTTCCCGTGGTCACCCACCCGTTGGTCCCCCCCCAAACCGCGCACACACAACCCTCAACGTATCAGACCTTTAAGCCATGGCAATTCTCAGATCATAGAGAACAAAGAAATGCGTTAAAGGCATGCTCGGAAAAAGTCTCGGTTGCACGCAAATGTAAGCTATGATTGTGTGCCTTTTGAATGTGTGAAACAAAGATCAACGCGTCAGGGATACATGGAGGAGAACCGTGGTGCGCCAGTGATCCATGGCTGTGGAATCTGACCTGCGGCACCTGATTCATTTCAAGAGTGCTCCAGAAGAGTGACCCGCAAGATCTTATAAAGGCCTGTCACAAGAATGTCCCACAAGACTGTCCCAAAAGAGTGTCCCACAAGTGACCCACAAAAGAGTCCTACAAGAAGGAGTGTCCGACAAGAGTGTCCAGAGGAGTGTCACCCCAGAATGTCCTTCAAGAGTGTCGTTTGCGTTTGCGCACGTGTGCACATTCGTGTTTGTTGATTGGGTTCCTGGTTTTCGAAAGGTAGGACATCGAATATATGATACATGTATATATCCGTAGCCATTTTGGCTCAAGGCTGCAGCCATTTCAGCATCAAGCCGTGGTGACCGTCGGCACCAGGTTTTGACCACAGGTGTCCTCTGCTCCCTGCAACTCGAGGCCGTCACCTCCTTTCAAGCGGGCCTGATCGTAGACGGCGTTGGCATCCGTGCCCATCTCACGGTCATTGAGGCCTCCTTGCCTATGACTCCCTCGAGCCCTACCAGATGGCGCCGCGCCTATCAGGTGTGTCAGCTTTCCACATGCCACAATTGGATTTGGCAAGACCGAGTCCGCTGTTTGCCAACAGTGCGGGACTCCTGGTCCAAGCCACCTCAAGGATTTGCTCCAAGATCTCCCACACCAAGAGTTCAGACTCGCAGCGTCACTCCTCCACCAGCCTTGTGGAAAGGCTCCACCAATCGATCCACCAAGGTGCAAAAACTCACGGGGGAGATCTTAGCCTCCTCTTGGGATAAGTTGGATCCTGGACTACAACAAAAGCTGACAGAGATCGGCGTCACGCCACCAGCGCCAACACCAGAGCCTGATCTTCAAGAAGTCCTCCGTGACAACCTGGCACAGCTGCCGGCACCTGTCAAGGAGTTGGTGGAGAAGATCACAAAGCCCCAGCCGACCACGGAAAAAGATGTTGCAAACAAGCTCAAGCAACAGGTTTCCACTCTTCGTGATCTCTCTCACCGCAAGCAGACGCTCCAGAACAAGATTGATGCCACCAAAAAGAGTTACTGGACGAGATAAAAGGCATCCAGTCTAAGATCGAGACCGAGCAGCAGGAACTCAACACCACTAGCTCGGCCTACATGTCCTTGGTCAGCAAACAGCCTGACCCTGTGCAGCTTTCAGAAGACGCTGAAATGAAAGATCCGGTACCAGAAGCTGTAGCTGGTTTCATCAGCA